TCCTTATTCTCAAGATGGGTTTCTTCCTTAGCTTGATATGGGTTCACCTGGAAGCAATCAATGAGTGTCCCCCTCCAGCAGATGGTTACTCTATATTTACTCACCTCCAGGTTCTTAAAGGTCTTAATTAGAACTTTCCAATTGGTAATACTTGGTAATAATTGCCAACCCCTTAATGGCACTATAATTTAGTACTTTAACACTTACCAAGTCACCTTTCGAATCCCTGGCTACCTCTTTGATACCTGTCTATGAGGGTTGTATTCCTCATTTCCATTACCTCATCCGGATGGGTAGGTAAGCTGGAGAACCTAATGGCAGCCCCTCCTCATGGTATAAAGACAATATATATGACTATATGCAAATTCATCCCAGTGTCGTTTTGAAATTTCACATAAACCAGATTGTCTATTTACCTGTGTTCTTCTTGAAGCCTTGCGCCTCCAGTGAAGTGACTTCATTCCTCGACATGAGACTAGCTCTGGCATTTTATCTACAGAGAACAAAACCAATCAAAAGTCACTTAAGTTTGTTTGCCATAGAAGAACAAGCCCGAAGACCAGCTGTTTCCTCCCAGAGGATCTCCATATAGATATGTGGCTGTATCCTACTTTATCAGCTAGCACACTTTCCTACCTCACATGGTGTACGGGCTCTCTCTATAAGAGTGAAGGCAGCTCTGGTAGTATCATTTCAAGAAGTAACTAGCAGCAAAGTGGAGTTCCATCTACATATTTACAAAACATTTTGACATAGTCCAAGCCTATGCTGATGCATCCTTTGGACAGTGGTTGTGTGAACAGCTTTACCACCTGCATCCTTACACCCTCCTTATTCTCCTCTGAGTACTGCTTTCAGTCACCCACAGTGGAATACGGAGAGGCCAGCACTCAAAGGGAAGAGTTCTTCGACATGTGTGGTCCTCATCTGTATTCCATTACCCACTCTCCTTCCCCGCTCTGTTGGATCATCTGATACACAGTAAGAGGTGAGGAACTGGAGAGGCCTCAGTTCCCACCGCCCCTTGTACTTTTTGGTGCAAAATAGTAGGGGAGAGAGGATGCAGGTGTGCACAAACAGATACTACTTGCAAGAATTCGCTGGTCTCAGGCACAAGGAGTGCATGCATACTCGCAACTGAACTCAGATGGGACCACACATCTCTAAGAACTCCATTTATGAAGGCTAAGTAACTTCCCTTCTTTCTCCAGGCAGCTTTGAAAACATGGGGAAGAAGGTGGTAGCTATCATAAAGATTGGGGGAGCAGTCAGAGAAATCTGAACAAGCTAAATCTAAAAGTAAATACCTCCTATTCAAAACACACACACGTTATCATTCTTCTACAATCTTGCGTCAAGGAGGTCATTTGGGAGGAGCAAGAAACTCTCAACAATGGGAAGAACTTCAGTTGGCAAACTGAGTTAATTCTACCGGTTCCTAGAATGCAAAGATACTCTTTACACTTTCTACGGTTGATGGTGTAGGTGGATCCCTGGCACAAGAAATGGTAATTCCTGCTGAGTGATTTCTTCCCGAAAAACACCCTGCAGACAAAAAGATAAAAGCCACACATAAAAGGATCTTTGAAGCTTTTTCAGCTGTACTCACTCAGAGACACTCTCACAACCATCTGCTTCACCAGGGACACAATGTCCTGGTGCAATGACCTAAAAAGTGTAGCTACCCAGAACTAAGGAGAATTCAAGTTATGTTAAAGAAATATCTCAGGCAACTTAATTTGGAGCAGACTGATCCATGGATTCCATGAAACTGGCAGTCAACACTGGAGTCAGATGCGAAATCCTGTCTTAAGTTATGGACAGCAGATAATTTATTCAAAGCAAATATTTGTACCTCACAATTCTTAGGACAAATCTAGTTTGCAGAGAAGATTGATAAAGTGATGCTGACAACACAGATAACTCCAAGAGTTCATTCCCCACTCTGGAGAGAGCCAGAAATGTGCTACAAGCCTTCATTCAGGAGCAGAAGCACCTTTTGTTCTAGCCTACAACAAAGATACTAAACATGAGACTCATTGCATAGCTGGTAAATCTGGGTCTTGAACTCCAAGGAGAAACCTACACCTCAAAATAAGACCAATCCCTCTTTCCAGCTCAAACTATCAAAATAAGTACAGTTGTGCTTCCATCTGTACAAAAATAGATCTAGAGCAGAGGATATTCTCCCTTCTCCCATTCCCATTGAAGAATAACTTCTCAAACAGCTGGATCCATTGAACTTCAGAAAGGTGAGCACTGGAAATAATGCACCCTTGATATTCTGGAGCTCCAGGCTCATCTGCATCCTTTCTTCATAGCCTCAACCTCAAGAGACACCCAGGAATATCCAGAATGATTCTACAGCTACTAGAGATAGGAACAGTCTGTGTCCTTCAGTGTGAAAGATGTTCAAGACTCTCCATCTTTATATACGAAGAGGTCAGACGGTCATATTAGACTTCAAGATGCTGTCCAAGTTGACTTTTAAAGAAAATGAAATTTAAAATGGAGACTAGCTGCCACTATTGCTGCACGCTGTCCAAGAGATGTACTAAGATGTGGGACGTGGCAGAAGAAGCTCACCTGCATATTCCAATCAGAGTCCTTCATCAGCAACTTCTTTAGTTTACCTATTTAAAGAACATCTATACCACTACAAAATTTTATCTTTCAGCTTCTCCACTATCCACAGGGTCTTCATAACAGTGTTGGTTGTGATTGTACCTAGGGCCAGATGTTTCTGAAATTCTGTACCCATTTCTAAACATAGTACTCATCTGAGCCTCCTCCTCAAGGGCTTCACAGGAAACAACCTATTTCATTTTCTCATTTAAAACTGTCATTTTAATGTTAATTAACTTTTTTTGGTCAAACTGTACTCTGGAAGAATAAATGCTTTGATAGGTAGATGATGATAATGCCTATACTTATGCCGATTTATTTTTGCCAAACTTGACTCAGACTGAAATTATCCATGTTTGCTCTCAGCCTCAGATGGCTGTGTTTAAAAGTTAGCAAAAATAGTTCCACCATTGCTTCCAGAAATGAGAGAAAAAATAGGTAAGTGGAAAGCATAGCAAATTGTTCCTTTACTATGTATGCTAACAGTTTATTGTTGACTTTTAATCCTTTAGATGATGGGGAGAGGACTGGTGTGGATCTTAAAGTTCAAGGTGCGCGTGCGGGCACACACACACACACACTGAACAAAGCCGAGCATCAACATGTCTATAATGACCCTTTTAAATAAAACTACCACTGTAGGATCTTGCATACAAAAAGCTTTACTACAACACCATTAAGATTGCAAAGTTCAAATTGCGTGTGCAATCTTAAGTCAGTCCTCCATGTATGTTTTATGAAGTTTGTGTGATAACATTATTTATTCTACTCAACCCTGCCTCAGAGCGTAGACAAGAGTGACAGTGAATGAGGCAGAGGGCTGCATGAAGAAAGATTCCTTATTTAAGGCAGGGGTTGGTGTAGGACCCTAGGAGAGCTGGTCTTTACCTAGCTCTATCACTGCCCTAACCAAGCCTCTGATACTGTATATGCAGTGGTGTTGTACCTATATTGGTCCTAGGACATTAGAGAGACAAGGTATCATCTTTTAGTGGACCAACTACTGTTGGTGAAAAAGACAAGCTTTCCAGCTTTCAGAGGCTTACGTGAAGAAGAGTTCTGTGTAAGCTTGAAAACTTCTCTCACCAACCACCGTTGGTCCAATACAAAATATTACCTCACTCACAAGTGGGCCACATCAAAATTGAACAAGCCCTCCTCATTCTAGTATTTGTTTAGTTTCAAAAGTCAGCCCCTCAAAGGTTCTGTTTTAATGTAGGAGTTTTTTCTTTGTATATATTTATTTAAAAAAGCAACAGCAAGGCTACGCTCCCTTCCCTTTTTAAAGAAATACATCTTTCCTAGGCTGAAACTACTCCTAGTTGCTGCTGCTTCCAGTAAGGTGACCAGGTTTTCTTCAAGTGAAAAACTATTCTCTTAGCTAAGAGGCAGCTTGGGCCAAGACCCAGACCCCCAGTCAGTGTTCCCTCTAATTTTTCCCACCCAGGTGTGGAATGAATTTTGTTATGTACACCAATATGGAGGTGGTGTGTGACAGATGACCATTATATTAGCGCAGGTACCATTCATGTGGTGGCGGTGGGTTCAGGGCTGGGGCAGACGGTTGAGAGCTTGGGGTGGGGCTGGGGATGAGGGGTTTGGGGTGCAGAAGGTGCTCTGGGCCCCTGGAGGCGAGCACAGAAGAGGACTCCCGGCAGCACCCTCTTCCCCACGGCAGCTCCGGGATAGGTGCCCCTACGCTCGCCACAGCAGGTTTCAGCCGGCCGGGTTCCCTGAGCACCTGCCTGGGACTAAATAGGCGGCTGCGCAGTTTACAGAGACCTTAGGCCACAGTCCCCGCCCTCAGAGCGTGTCCGTACACACGGCGCTGGTAAGGCGGCCAGATGCCCGGATTTTACAGCGACAGGCCAGAGAGCCGGGTGGAGCGAGCCTCCGCGGGCTGCGAGGCGCCAGCAGGGGGCGCCGCGGGGCTGACTGACTTGCCCCCGTTTCTGTTTTTTTACGCGCAGCCCTGCTGCGCGGGGCGGGCCGCGTGACGGGGGTCGGGTGCGTGGGTGAATAAACGTCACTCTGTCTGGCACCGCCCCCCCCCCCCGTCTGGCATGTGCCGCTCTGTAGCAGGCGGGGGCGGGGCGAGGCAGCAGTTCCGAGGGCTGGCGATGCTCCCCCTTCCCAGCCCGGCTGGCCCGTGCGCCGTTGTTTCTGCGGGGCAGGGGCGGGGCTCGCGCAGAGCGGTTACTCTATGGTATGCGCGGGGGGGCGGGGGAGTGTCACCCATTCCGCAGCTCGGTCTACACAGTGGGGCTAGAGCGGCGCCCGTCTCCCCCCCCTCCCCCCACCCCCGGATTGGGCTAGCGTGGCTCCACCTCACGAGGATGGGCCTCCCGGGCACAGCGCTCTATCTAGTCTGAGCTTCGTTGGCGCCTGCGCAGTCGCGGGGAGGGGGCGTGGCCAGCGTTCCTGAGCCGTCGGGAGTGGACTTGGAGCCGTTCCGCGAAGCCCTGTTGCCGGTGGGGCGGCCTGATGGCGACGTTTTTCGGTGAGGTGGTGGCGGCGCCATCCCGGGCCGGGGTGGACGACGAGGAGGAGGCGGCGGCGGAGCGCGAGGAGACGCCCGAGGACCGCGAGATCCGCCGGGGGCTGGAGAAGAAAAGGTAGCGGGGGCAGCGCGCGGGGGCGCGAGCCGGGGGCGAGCCCAGCCGGACAGGGCCCCACCCTCCCCTTCCAGCCCCCGCTGGAGCGGGCGGGCGCAGGGCGCGAGCTTGAGGCAAGCCCATGAGGCGCTCGGACGCTCTCTGTGGTGAACACGCGGGATCGGGCCCTGGAGCCGCGTTGTCTTTATAAAGCGCAGCCAGGGGGCGGCTGGGCCGGCGGGAGGGGGGCGATCCCTGCCAGCCGGATGAGAGCAGCCCTCTCGGGGGGGAGGCAGGTGTGGACTGGCCTGTGCTCAGCTCAGTTTCTGGTCTGAGCTTATTTTCCTCTCCTCTTGTCTCTCTGGGTGTCAGGGAGGAGTCGTAGCAGTGTAGGGCTGGAAGGGACCTCGAGGTCATCTAATCCAGTCCCCGGTGCTGAGGCAGGACTGGGTATACCTGGACATCCCTGATAGCTGTTTGGAGGTGTTTAAGAACAGGTTGGACAACGATGGGTATTCCACAAATTCTTTTGAGGTTTTTTTAAAGTGCTTAACTATCCTCAGAGCTGGGATTTTTTACTAATATGGAACCTAAATCTCCCTTGCTGCAGATTAAGATAATTACGTTGATCACCTGCCTCACCTGCAGGCTTTGTAACAGCCCTTAACTGTGTTTGAAGACTATCAAGTCTCTCTGCTTCTAAGCCCCCTCAGTCTTCTTTTCTCAAAACTAAAACATGCCTATTTTTTTTAACCTCTTAGTTTTATAAACTTTATCATTTTTATGTTTTTACTCGGGACTCTCTCCAGTTTGTCCACGTTTTCCTATACTCAGAACTGCACGCGCAACTTCAACTGAGGACTCACCAGTAGCCAAATAAAGCGGGACAAGACTTTCTGTGTTTCTATCTGACGTACCTGTTATTACACCCCAGAATGATATTAGCCTTTTTCACAACTGCATCACATTGTTGACTCATATTCAATTTATGGTCCACTATGACTCCCAGATTCTTTTCAGCAGTACTAGTGCCTAGCCAATTATTCCCGATTTTGTAGATGTGCATTTGATGTCTTCCTTCCTACGTATAGTATTTTGCACTCATCTTTATTGAATTTTGTTGATTTCAGAGCAGGTCTCCAATTTGCCAAGGTGGTTTTGAATTCTAATCTTGTCCTCCAAAGTACTTGCAGCCCCCCCCCTGCGGGACTCCACTATATACATCTCTCCAGTTTGATTGCAAGCCACTGATTACTACTCTTAGATTATGGTCTTTCAACCAGTTTGGCACGTACCTTATAGTAATTCCTTCTAGACGACATTTCCCCAGTTTGCATATGAGAATGTCATGTGGTACAGACACTCCCTGAGTTACGCAAGACCCGACTTACGCAAATTCGCACTTACGGAAAAAGTTCCATAAGCTAGAAATAGGAGGCGGGTTTTTTGTTGTTTTTTTTGCGTAACGTTCGAGTATACGTTTCTAACTTAAACAAAATTCGAGTTACGCAAGGCTTTCCGGAACGGAACGTTTGCGTAAATTGGGGAGCGTCTGTACTGTATCAAAAGCCTTACTAGGTTGGCTTGACATGATTTGTTCTAGAGAAATCTATGTTGACTATTAGTTTGGGCTTGTCTACACTTACATTTTATAGCGCTGTAACTTGCTGGCTCAGGGGTGTGCAAAATCGCCCCCCTGAGCACAGCAAGTCTGAGTGCTTTAAAACACTTGTGTAGATAGGCTCCAAGCTCTGGGAGCCGTGCTCCCAGCGCTCAGAGCTCATCACACTCACACTTCAAAGCGCTGCCGCGGGAGCGTTTCCGTGGGAGCACTTTGAAGTTTCCAGTGTAGCCATGCCCTAAGAACCCTATTATCCTCTAGATGCTTACCATTTGATTAGTTAATAATTTGTTCTAGTATTTTTCTAGGTGTTGAAGTTAGGTCTGTAGTTCCCCAAGTATTTTGTTCCCCTTTTTAAAACTCAGTCCTGTGTTTGCTCTTCTCCAGTTGTCTGAGACTTCACCTGTCCTCCGTGAGTTCTCAAAGATAATTGCTAATGGTTCAGAGATTACTCCAGCTAGCTACTTAAATGCCCAAAGGTGAATTTAACCAGGTTCTTCTGAATTGAATACATAAATATTCTTTCACCTGTTTTTTTCCCCATTTTGGCTTGTGTTCCTTCCTTTGTGTAAAACAGGATGATTCTCACAAGAACTATTTTTTTATTGTCTTTCTAGATCATACAGAGGGGTAAATGGATCTAACCTTATTGCACAACCTGTGTTCTCATCCACTGTTTGTTTTGTTTGTATTTAACCTATTTCTGTTTCTTATGCTAGGGAGGTCCACATCCTTTGGAGTTCGAAGTTAAGTGCATCTACTGGAAGCTTTATAGATGAGCAGTTTCCTTGCTCTAAGTTTATATTGGCGATTGGACATAACTCTGTAGGTAAGTGGTCCAGACTGAGAGAAAAGCTTTAGAAACTCTGTACAATTGTGTGGCCCTGCTCCCATTGTAACTTTTGAATACTGAGCAGTAACAAGTAGGAACGTGGGGAAGGTGTGTGTGCTAAGATAGCACTTTTCTACTTGAAGACATGTTTCATTTTGCTTTGGGTCTCACCATGACTGTTAAACTCCCTTTTATGCAAAGGCTAGCAGCAATCTGGGTGCCTGGAAGAATGGGTAGAGAATTGCAGTGCTCCTGCAGGAGGCATTCTGGCTGTCCTCTGGAGGGATTTTAATTATTTCCGTTTTTCATTCAGGAGATAAACTTTTTTAGACCTGATGTTGGTGAAGAGAACTTTCCAAATGTAAACTTTCCAAATGTAAGCACCAATATTTCTGCAGTTGTACATTGCTTTGCCATAAAGTGTCTTTATTTTATTTCTTTCGATACCTGCAGAAGGTAGCATTTAAAAAGACATTTTTAAAAAAGCGTCTATCCCATGTGGTTATCTGACACTTCTTTAAAAATGCAAATCATCCCATAAAGATGACTTCATCGATAATGTCAATTTCAGTCTGCCACTCAGAAGCTAAGAGTATGAGCAAAGGCAGGCCCTGAAAATTTTTTCAGTGGAATGGAAATAATCTGTTTTGGGATGAGTAGGGATAGAGTAACTTCTCACTTAACGTCATCCTGGTTAACGTTGTTATGTTGCTGATCAATTAGAGAGCATGCTCATTTAAAGCTGCGCAATGCTCCCTTTTAATGTTGTTTGGCAGCCACCTGCTTTGTCCACTGCTTGCACAATGAGCAGCCTGTTGGAGCTAGCTGGTGGGGGCTTGGAACCAGGGTGGACTGGCAGCTGCCTATCAGCTCCCTGTGTGTGGCAGCCGTCAAGCAGGCTGTCAATTGCTAGGCAGGTCAGCTGTCCCTCCCACCACTGCCGTGTGCTGCTCCTGCCCTCTGCCTTGGAGTTGCTCCCGGGAGCCTCCTGCTTGCTGTGCGGGGAGGGGAAGGGGGTGGTAATGTCAGTGTGTCCCCCTTCTCCCCGCTCCTGTACCCGATCTCCACAGAGCGGGGTGGGGCAAGACAGGGCTCAGGATGGAGGGAGCTTGTTGGCAACAGCTGCTGTCTCAACTTGCTTATCTGCTTAAAAAGGCAGTGTACTTAGAGTGGGGTCAGTGTACTTAAAGGAGCAATGCGCGTCTCTCTCTCTCACACACACTGTCTCCTCCCTCCATTTGTGCTGCCTTGTAGAGAGTGAGGCTATGTTAACAACAATGTGTTAGCCCTTGAAGGCTCAGCCGAGTACGAGTTCATCATTTAGCAGTTAGTCATTCCCTGGGAAATATCTTACCCTCTTCCACCCTCGGACTCCACCACCTCAACCAAGCTTCACAATCATCATTGCTGTGTACGGTATTAAATTGTTTGTTTAAAAGTTATACCATGTGTGTATAATAGATATAGATTGTCTGGCGAATAAAATTTCCCTGTAACCTAGACCCCCCCCCCCATTTACATTATTTCTTATGGGGAAATTGGATTCACTTAACATCGTTTCACTTAAAGTAGTATTTTTTTCAGGAACATAACTACAACATTAAGCAAGGAGTTACTGTATACCTGCTTGCTCTGCCTTATAACAGCCAGGAAACTGGGAGGGGAATAGAATAATGAAGACACCTCTCTCTTGCAGTCTGAGTCCCCCACAGCCATGAACTAGTAGGAAAGAGGAAAAATTCCTTCCAGCAGCCCAAGGGTGGATTGGGACTTCAAATTTCCAAACCCTGTTTAAATCTAGTCTTGACCAGGGTTTAAAGATGTAGTGTGAGTTTGAACTAGCTAACATAATCTAACTCTCACATTCTAGAACTAGTTAAGACAAGGCAAGTTGTACTTTAGTACTTGCTAAGCTGGTCAAGATAAAGCTTGGTTTTTTTGCTTCCCCCATGGGTTTAGCTTGACCTGTTTAGCATATGCTAATGTACAGCTTGCCTTGTCTTAACTAGAATTTTTGCAGGCGTGTGCTAGCTTGAGCTAGCTGATGTGATCTGAAACCTTTAAATCCTAGTCTAAACAAAGCCTCTGAGAATGGAGCCTTGAGCAGAGTAGGGTAGGAATTCTAGCACCTTCGTTTCCTATCAACTAGGGATGGAATCTGGCTTTCTCACCAGGGATTTGCCCTTGGATTTGACTTGTGAGGGGGCCCCCCTTATTCCTCTCTTAATATTGGTGTCTGATTAATATGCTTAGTCTCTGGCTAGGTGGTGTCTGGTAAATTCTTCAAGCCCTACTTTTGATCACTTCCTGTAAATTGTGAAGTTCACTTTTGGCAAAAGCAGGCAGAGCCTTGCTCTGAGTCTTGGTGCTGAGGAAGAAGCTAGTACCAAAACCATGATGATGTGGATTAACAAGCTAAGAAAAGTTAAAACCCCTCCAACGCATTATTAAGGATCTACAACCTATCCTAAAGGATGACCCAACACTCTCACAAGTCTTGGGAGACAGGCCAGTCCTTGCCTACAGACAGCCCCGCAACCTGAAGCAAATACTCACCAACAACCACATACCACACAACAGAACCACTAACCCAGGAACTTATCCTTGCAACAAAGCCTGTTGCCAATTGTGCCCACATATCTATTCAGGGAACACCATCACAGGGCCTAATAACATCAACCACACTATCAGAGGCTCGTTCACCTGCACATCCACCAATGTGATATATGCCATCATGTGCCAGCAGTGCCCCTCTGCCATGTACATTGGTCAAACTGGACAGTCTCTACGTAAAAGAATAAATGGACACAAATCAGATGTCAAGAATTATAACATTCATAAACCAGTCGGAGAACACTTCAATCTCTCTGGTCACGCAATCACAGACATGAAGGTCGCTATCTTAAAACAAAAAAACTTCAAATCCAGACTCCAGCGAGAAACTGCTGAATTGGAATTCATTTGCAAATTGGATACTATTAATTTAGGCTTAAATAGAGACTGGGAGTGGCTAAGTCATTATGCAAGGTAGCCTGTTTCCTCTTGTTTTTTCCTACCCCCCCCCCCCCGATGTTCTGGTTTAACTTGGATTTAAACTTGGAGAGTGGTCAGTTTAGATGAGCTATTACCAGCAGGAGAGTGAGTTTGTGTGTGTATGGGGGTGGGGGGGATGTGAGAAAACCTGGATTTATGCAGGAAATAGCCCGACTTGATTATGTAAAGAGTTGTCACTTTGGATGGGCTAGCACCAGCAGGAGAGTGAATTTGTGTGGGGGGGGTGGAGGGTGAGAAAACCTGGATTTGTGCTGGAAATGGCCCACCTGATGATCACTTTAGATAAGCTATTACCAGCAGGACAGTGGGGTGGGAGGAGGTATTGTTTCATGATCTCTGTGTGTATATAAAGTCTGCTGCAGTTTCCACGGTATACATCTGATGAAGTGAGCTGTAGCTCACGAAAGCTCATGCTCAAATAAATTGGTTAGTCTCTAAGGTGCTACAAGTACTCCTTTTCTTTTTGCGAATACAGACTAACACGGCTGTTACTCTGAAACCTAAGAAAAGTTGCTTCACTCATTAAGACAAAAGTGCAAGTAGTATTTGAACAGTGCACTCCTGCTATTTCCACTACTTGGGTTTGATTTGTTTCAGAATTGAAAATCACATCATGGTCCCTGTGATGGAGGCTTATATTGCATGACTGTAGCACTCATTCCCTGGGCTGTTGGAAATAGCTGCATTTTAGCGTGTTCTGTTTGAGTGTCTAATAATGGGAGATGAGTCTGAAAGGGAAACAATTCTGAACATATTATCATGTAGTTTCAACCAATTAACGAATGCAGTAGATTTGATACTGATTTTGGATGGAGATGGTTCTCTCTGCCATCCAGGCTGCTACCAAAGATTTTGTGAGGGCTTGAGGAAAACAGGGAGACAGGTCAGGATCAGTACAGAACTTGTCACAGTGGACAGTGTCTGTTGCCTCAATGACAAATAAGGGTCAAGCTTTTTCTGTTTATTTTGTAGTATCTGATGAGAAAAACAAAATATTTCCAGGTGACACATGCAATATTTAGAATATACATAACATATATTTGATTAATATTAACTGAGATTTTTTTTAAATTCTTGATCTTTCCAGGTGAAAGGGCTCTAGAGTTTATGGTTTTGTTGCAACCACTAGTGTGTAATTGATAATGAGTTCCTCCAAAAATCCCAACCACAAACAAACTGTAGTAATCCAGTTCAGGAGATTTGTGTAGAACAGTGATTTTTGTTTTAATGGGAATGTCTCACATATCTGATATTACTGTATAAACTAATACTGATGTTGTTCACAGCTTTCCTGTCCTCTTTTGTCCTGAATTCTGGATGCTGGGAAGCAGTTGGAGCTGTCAAATTGTGGAATGAGTGGTGCAGAACATCAAATACAACAAGTGTTCTTCCAACAGATGCTTTCTGTTTGTTCTACAAATTAATATCTGATCCAACAGTAAGTGGCATAATATGTATGCATTTAAAAATGATTCTCTCTCCCTGTTTGATTTTCTGTTGAGAAAGAGAGTAAGAGTGAGTCTTTTCAGCAAAGAAAACCAATAAGGTTGCAGTGTTCTTAGCTTACCACATCAAAAAAATTGATTTGACAGCTCACTTGACGAGGTTGCTGAGACATGCGCTGCATTTCAGGAAGATTAGGGTACTCAGTTCTGCCATGTAGCTATACTAAATTATGGAATTCAAGGTTACTTCTAGGTGTTAACTCCCACCTACAAAGTCTAGTGCTAATAGGTGTTCTCTGTGAACATTTTGAGTCATATCCTCAGTTGGCATAAACTGATGTAATTAAGCTACATTGATTTACATCGGATGAATATCTGGCCCTTTATGTACAATACAAGGAAGATTCATGGCAAGATGGAGTGCTTCATACCAGTTGCAGATGAAAAATCCTCATTGAAATGGTAGTAGTATATAGTGTGAGTGTAATCAATATCATGTTCATGTAGAGTCTGTCTCATATTAAAAAGATATTGAAAGGGACTGTAACTGAGTTGTCTGACTCGCTTGTTTACAATTTTGTCTTTTCAGGTATTGTTGTGCCAGTGCAATTGCTATGTGGCTGAGGATCAGCAATTTCAATGGCTTGAAAAGGTAAAATTTAGATTAACAGGAATTAGGCAAAGAATTTTGGGGGGGGGGGCAGGGACCTCTTATAAGAAAAACAAAACACCTCTTCTTATAATGCTCAGTTATTTTCTATATTGCTTTCCATTCCCTTCCACCCCCACCCCGCAATACTCAAAAACTAAATGTTGTTTGAATTTTGTACCAGGAAGTTCTGTCAAATCCCACTATGGCTGGTACTGGTTGCGTCTGCTGTAATTAAACTTTCTAAAACAGTTCCAATAGAGAGAGCCTCTGTTTTCTCATACTCCTTTTCAGAAACATCTGCCTTTCAGGCTTAAATTTTCTGGGGTTGATTTCAACAGAGGTGAATTATTCTAACCGCGTTTGGGTTACAGGAATATGGAAAAAATGTGTGTGTTTTTGGTTGGGTTTTTTTGTTTAGGAAAGAAAAATGTAACAGCACTTGTACAGAGCTACGGCTGCCAAAAATAACTAGTTTGAAACTTAGCATGGACAAAGTCCTCACTGAGGAGTGTGTGTTCTTCTTTCTTTGAGGGAGAAGTGCTCAGTTCCTGCCTCTCTTGTTCCATCACTATAACTCTGCCCATTCTACCGTACAGAGAGGCTGCTGCTGGAACAATTTGCAATATTGTCAACCCCAGTCACTCAAAAGACATGAGTCAGGTCTGAAACTATTATGTAATCAACTTCAAAATCATGATATTCTTAAATAAATATTGGGTTCTTTTTGTTTGCCTTCTAGTTTTTGAAGTGTAGTGTACACTCAGATCCTATTTTTCATATTTTTTCCTGCAACCTCATGGGTTACAATTTTAAAAAAAAAATTTTTTTTAAGTGAAAGCTCAGATTCAAATAATCACAACTTCAGGAGCTGAAGTATTAACAAACACAACAGATGTTGCGAGGCTTAGGTAAAATCATAGGAGTTTGGTAACATTATGCAAATTACTTGTGTAAAAAGTTCGTGGCAGTCTTGGTGAGGCAGAAAGGAAAATAAAATGTGCTTTATAGATCTGCAAAGAGATTTTAAAATTGAATTGTACCCTTATATATATTAAAAAAAGTAAAGACTGGAGATTGATTTGTTTGCTTGCCTGAGAAATATCATCAATGTCATGTCTTTCCTAGTTTGGGGTTCTAGGAACCTTGTTGTTCTGAGCTCTTAAGTGACAATCTATGGGGCAGAGATGCTAATCTGTAACAAGTGTTATATTCTATTAGGCATTGCAGTTAAATAGATGTTAATAGAAACTTCAGCTTTCTTTTTTTGCTTAGCAGTTTGACTAAAAACCCCCCTTTTCTTCCTTTGCTGCTCTCTCCCCCCAATGCTCTGCCTTCAATCTCTTGTGAATTCATAATTTTGCTGGTTCTTCAGTCACTACAGAGTCTCTCCCAAGGAAAGCATAAATCATCAGAAGCAAGTCTCTTTTTGTTTTCAAGTTATAGGGTAACAAAACATTAATGTGGAGGATTGTCTATCTTTAGGAGGAATTTAGTATTTGGCTACCATGTACATAAATAAGAGAACTTCTGTAGCATATTTCCCATATTGTTCCTTGTCTTCTTCATGGTGATGAATCCTAAGAAGGTGGTGGGAGGGATATCTGCACATTTTTACTAACTAATCAGTTGTAAAAATGACATAACACCATGTAGAAAATGAAGCCATTTTTAGTAAGTGTGTACTGATCTTAGAGTAGACAGTAGTAACATCTGAAGGTTGTATGTGGAAGAGTCAGGGATCCAAAAATGTATTCCTATTAGGGCTGTCAATTAATCGCATTTAACTCTTGTGATTAACTCAAAAATGTTAATTGTGATTAAAAAAATTAATCATGCTTAATCGCACTTATAACAATAGATTACCAATTGAAATTTATTGAATATCTTTGGATGTTTTTCTACATTTTCAATATTGATTTCAATTACAACACCGTATACAAAATGCACAGTGTTCACTTTATTTTTTATTACAAATACATGCACTGTAAAAACAATAAACAAAATAGTATTTTTTTAGTTTACATCATACAAGTACTGAATTGCAATCTCTTTTTCGTGAAAGTGTAACTTACAAATGAAGATTTTTTTGGTTATATAACTGCACTCAGAAACAAAACAGTGTAAAACTTCAGAGCCTACAAGTCCACTCAGTCCTACTTCTTCTGCCAGTCACGAAGACAAACAAGTTTGTTTACATTAACGGGAGATACTGATGCCTGTTTCTTATTTACAATGTCACCTGAAGGTGAGAACAGGCGTTCTCATGGCACTTTTGTAGCCAGCGTTGCAAGGTATTTACATGCCAGGTGTGCTAAACATTCATATGCCCCTTCATGCTTCGGACACCATTCCAGAGGATATGCTTCCATGCTGATGATGCTAATTAAAAAAATGTGTCAATTAAATTTGTGACTGTACTCCTTGGGGGGAGAATTGTATGTCTCCTCCTCTGTTTTACCCACATTCTGCATATATTTCATGTTCTAGAAGTCTCGGCTGATGACCCAGCACATGTTCGTGTTAAGAACACTTTCACAGCAGATTTGACAAAATGCAAAGAAGGTACCAATATGAGGCTTCTAAAACTAGCTACAGCACTCGCCCCAAGGTTTAAGAATCTGAAGTGCTGTCCAAAATCTGAGAGGGACAAGGTGTGGAACATGCTTTTAGAAGCCTTAAAAGAGCAACACTTTGATGCGGAAACTACAGAACCTGAACCACCAAAAAAGAAAATCAACCTTCTGCTGGTTGCATCAGACTCATGATGAAAATGAACATGCGTCAGTCCACACTGCTTTCGATCGTTATCAAGCAGAACCCATCATCAGCATGGAAGCATGTTCTCTGGAATGGTGGTTAAAGCATGAAGGGACATATGAATCTTTAGCACATCTGGCACATAAATATCTTGCAACGCCAGCTTACAACAGTGCTGTGCGAATGCCTGTTCCCATTTTCAAGTGGTGTTGTAAACAAGAAGCAGGCAGCATTATCTCCTGCAAGTTGGAACCAACCTTGTTTGTCTGAGTGATTGGCTGACCAAGAAGTAGGACTGAGTGGACTTGTAGGCTCTAAAGTTTTACATCGTTTTATTTTTGAATGCAGTTTTTTTTACATAATTTTACATTTGTAAGTTCAACTTTCATGATAAAGAGATTGTACTACAGTACTTGTATGAGGTGAATTGAAAAATAGTATTTTTTTACAGTGCAAATATTTGTAATAAAAATAAAGTGAGCACTGTACACTTTGTATTCTGTGTTGTAGTTGAAATTAATATATTTGAAAATGTAGTAAAAATCCAAAAATATTTAAAATAAATGGTATTCTATTGTTTAACTGGTCGATTAATTGCAATTAATTTTTTTATTTGCTTGACAGTCCTAATTCCTATTTTTTCTGCAACATTATTTCTTGAGGTCAAAATAAATAAACCTTAAAAATTCCCAGGCTGTCCCTAGAAGTTCTCAGCAAATTTTAACTTCAGATAGGAGGAAATGAGAAATCTAAAATGTGGAAACAAGCCAAAAAAAAAAAAAAGAATTAGCTATTATGGAGTATCTAGCGAATAGATAAACTTGGAAATGTAATCTGAAGGCTCTTTCTTAATTTACACAATCATTCTGATTTCATATGGATTCCTTTCCCTATCCACTCTCACATTAGGAAAAGTAATCGTTCAAGTTTCTCTGCAGAAAGGGCCAACAATCTGAAGCCTACAGAGCAAGTCAGTAGACTTGACAGATGTGTAATTGTTACCTCCTCCTGTTTAGTAGTTTGTTTTGATTGAAGCTATAGAACACAGTAATTCCTGTTTTTGAGGGTGTGGTAAAACTGTCAATTAACTTGGTAAATCTGAGAGAAACTACTTTTTGCCATCTAAACTAAAATGAACCCAGTCTTCTGTAATTGGACTCCATTTCTGTATTACCATAAACCTCACTTATGCTGGAATTAATATTTTCATTCCAGGTTTTTGGCTGTATGCGGGAGGAGGATCTGCAAGTAACCATTCTTTCGACATGTCCTGTAACTGATTATAAAACTCCTGAATCCACTTTAACGCTTCCTTCTCCTTTTCTGAAAGCTTTAAAGACAAAAGAATTCAAAGAGAGAGTCTGTTGTCCACTGCTGGAGCAGCCAAATATTGTACAGGGTCTCCCTGCTGCTGGTATTATGCAACTTCATTTATACTCTTGCATTCATCCATTTATTTTTTTTTGCTGTATTGCAAGGTCATGCTTGTGTCCTATGCTAACCATTGACATTTATTGGTGAATGTTAATTTTGAACAGCATAACGTTTAACAGATGATCCTACTTTTAAGTTTATCCTCCAATATATAATTTAGTGAATGAGCCAGGAAGATAACATTAATTATCTTATTAATTATCTTGAAAATTAATTCACAGCACTTTGGCATTTTCCACATCGGTCTGTAAAACTGCTGAGATATACAAAAATTATGTTCTGTAATTAACAGCTTATACTGTAAAATGTAATGTTACGTAGTATATCTTGAACCAGGAGTCACCCAATGAAATTAGCAGGCATAAGGAGGTACTTCTTCACACAATGCACAGTCATCCTTTGGAACCCTTTGCTGGGGAATGTTGTGACTGCCAAAAGGATAACAGAGTTAAAAAATAATTAGATATGTTCTTGGAGGATAGTCCCTCAATGGCTGTTAGCCAAAATGGTCAGAGATGCAATCCCAGAGCAAAATGATATATTACTTAACTTGAAAGAGATGTTATGCAGTGTGGATTAGATTACTTTGATGTAACAGTCTTTTTTCTTTTTGGTTATATTTAGTTCTGAGTTATTGTCAAGTATGGCAGATTCCTGCAGTGCTGTATCAGTGTTACACGGATGTCATCAAACTGGACACTGTTACAATTGAAGCATTCAAGCCTGTGCTTTCTTCTAAGAACCTGAAGAGTTTAGTCAAGGTAAAGTTTAATTTTAAAAATTAGTGGAAAGTTCTGTCACTTTGGCCTCCATCACTGTAGTATTGGAGTGTCTGAGATTGTAGACCGGGGTCGGCAACCTGCGGCGTGCGTGCCAAAGGCGGCATGCAAGCTGATTTTTAGTGGCACTCTGCTGCCAGCTGGGGTTCCGGCCGCCGCCGCCCACACTCAGCCCGCTGCCTGCCTGGATGAACAGAACCCCAGGCCGGCAGTGGCTAAGCGGGGCCGGTGGCCGGGACCCTGGCTGGCAGGAGCTGGCGGACGGAACCCCAGACCGGCAGCAGGCTGAGCAGCGCAGCCCGCTGCTGGCCTGGGGTTCTGGCCGCTTGGCCCCGTGCCAGCTGGGGTCTCGGCTGCCAGCCCCGCTCAGCCCACTGCCAGCCTGGATGGATGGAACCCCGGGCTGGCAGCAGTCTGAGCGGAGCCGGCAGCCTGACGGCGACCCCGCCTGACGGGCTGGTGGACGGAACCCCTGCGTGGCTCAGCCTGCTGCTGGCCTGGGGTCCCTGCTGCCAGCCTGGATGGCCGGGACCCCAGGCCGAGCGGGGCTGGCAGCCGGGACCCTAGGCCAGCAGCGGGTTGAGCGGATCAGTCCGCTGCCGGTTTGGGGTTCCAGCCACCAGCCCCTGGCACACAAAACCTTAAATTACAGTAAATAAATGAAGACTTGGCACACCATTTCTGAAAGGTTGCCGACCCCTGTTGTAGACTAATGAGACTTAGATGTATAGTACAGACGCTCCCCGGGTTACGCAAGACCCGACTTACGCAAATTCAACCTACGCAAAAAGTTCCATAAGGCATAAATAAAATTTTCGAGTTGCGAAAAATATTGCGTAGCATATGGAAAGGTAAAGTACTGTAGTGCAATGTGCAGAGAAATACAGCAGTAACATCTCCTACAAGGGAAGGCTTTGCACTCTCACAGCCTCTCAGTCTCGTGTTATTTCAGTGATACTGTATTTCTGTTTGAGTAGCAGCTGTGTTAGTCTGTATCCGGAAAAAGAAAAGGAGGACTTGTGGCACCTTAGAGACTAACAGATTTATTTGAGCATAAGCTTTCGTGATGTAGCTCACGAAAGCTTATGCTCAAATAGATTTGTTAGTCTCTAAGGTGCCACAAGTCCTCCTTTTCTTTTTGTATTTCTGTTGTTTCACCCTATAATTTCATTCAAATCATGCCTGGAAAGCGACCAAGTGATAGCAAGTGTGCAGGACCAGTTTGTAAGCGAAAGAAGATTGATTCAGAACAGAAAATGAAAATAGTGAAAAAGTACAAAGGTGGACAAAGCCTGTCGTCAGTTGCTCGTGAACTTGAATTGGCTACCTCAGCAGTGAAAAGTATTTTGAATGATAATGCACACATAAAAGAGCATGTGAAAGGCTCTGCTCCTTTAAAATCAACAGTCCTAATGAAGCAGCGTTCTGGTTCTATCTATGAAATGGAAAAATTATTAACAATGTGGTTAGAAGATCAGATTCAAAAACGTGTGTGCCTTAGCCTAATGATTATTCAAGCTAAGGCTAAAAGTATTTTTGAAGACATAAAGGGAAAATACAGTGATCCTAACACACAGTTTGTGGCTAGTCATGGGTGGTTTAATAGATTTAAACAATGCAAATTTTCACAATGTAAAAGAGAGTGGTGAGGCTGCTAGTGCTGATACAAAAGCAGCTGAAAAATATCCCGAAGTGTTACGAAAACTTATAGAAGAATGTGGTTATACAGCACAGCAAATCTTTAATGTCGATGAGACTGGATTGTTTTGGGAAAAAATGCCAGACAGAACATACATTTCAAAAGAGGAAAAGACAATGCCAGGGTTTAGAGCTGCAAAAGATAGGCTGGCACTTTTGCTTCAGGGTAATGCAGCTGGAGATTGCAAATTGAAACCGTTGCTTGTTTATCATTCAGAAAATCCCCGTGCGTTTAAAGGCATTAACAAGGCTACCCTTCCAGTTCATTTCTATTCAAATCAAAAGACTTGGATCACAATGGCACTTTTCGAAGACTGGTTTATAAATTTGTTTATCCCTGAAGTGGAAAAATTCTGCAGAGAAAATGACATCCCATTCAAGATTATGCTTATCATCGATAATGCTCCTGGAGATCCCGCACATTTAGACAGTTTTCATCCTAATGTAAAAGTCGCGTTTCTGCCTCTTAACACGACTTCGATCCTACAGCCCATGGATCAGGGTGTCATTGCTAATTTTAAAGCCTATTATCTACGAAGCACATTTGCACAGGCAGTAGTAGCAACTGACGGAGAGACTGGCAAGACTTTATACAATTTCCAAAAATCGCGTAACATTTACCTAGCCATCATAAACATTGCTCAGGCCTGGGCAGAGGTTACCCAAGTTTGTTTGAATGCCATATGGAAGAAAGTGTGCCCACAGTTTGTACACAGCTATAAAGGTTTCAGAAAAGATGAAACATAGGAGGAGGTGGCAGATGAAATTGTGAAGCTTGCCAAGCAGCTTCAGCTGGAGCAGACTGAAGCTGAGGATGAAGTTGAAGTAGAAGAGCCACAACACTTCAACACCAAGGAGATGGCACTTGCATTTTGTGAGATTGACTCTGCAATGGCAAGGTTTGAGAAGTTGGACCCCAATTCCTCACGATTCTTGAAAGTGAACAGAGGCATTGACGAAACGCTGGCCTGTTATAGACAGATATATGAAGAGAAGAAAAAGGCCACTATCCAGTCATCTCTCAATAAGTTTGTAAAGGCCTGCAACGTCCACATCTCCACAGCCTTCCACTTCCAAAGCCCCCTCTGGCAACCCCGATGATGTAATGTCTATCTCCTCCTCTCCTTCCTCATCTACAAATTGAACCCATTGTCATCCACCACCAAAATGCAGCCTTCAGTGTGCCAGGATAACAATAGGATTAAGGTAAGATACTTTAAATGACTGCTTCTTGGAGCAGCTGGTACAGGAACCCACAAGGGGAGAGGCAACTCTCAATCTAGTCCTGAGTGGAGCGCAGGATCTGGTCCAAGAGGTAACTATAACAGGACTGCTTGGAAATAGTGACCATAATATAATAACATTTAACATTCCTGTGGTGGGAAGAACACCTCAACAGCCCAACACTGTGGCATTTAATTTCAGAAAGGGGAACTATGCAAAAATGAGGAGGTTAGTCAAACAGAAATTAAAAGGTACAGTGACTAGAGTGAAATCCCTGCAAGCTGCATGGACACTTTTCAAAGACACCGTAATAGAGGCTCAACTTAAATGTATACCCCAAATTAAAAAACACAGTAAAAGAACTAAAAAAGAGCCACAGTGGCTTAAGAACCATGTAAAAGAAGAGAGATAAAAAGCCATCTTTTAAAAAGTGGAAGTCAAACCCTAGTAAGGTAAATAGAAAGGAGCATAAACACTGCCAAATTAAATGTAAAAATGTAATAAGAAAAGCCAAAAAGGAGTTAGAACAGCTAGCCAAAAACTCAGAAGATAATAACAAAGTGTTTTTTACGTACATCAGAAGCAGGAAGCCTGCTAAACAACCAGTGGGGTCCCTGGACGATAGAGATACAAAAGGAGCACTTAAAGACGATAAAGTCATCGCAGAGAAACTAAATGAATTCTTTGCTTCAGTCTTCATGGCTGAGGATGTTAGGGAGATTCCTAAACCTGAGCCATCTTTTGTAGTTGACAAATCTGAGGAATGGTCACAGATTGAAGTATCACTAGAGGAGGTTTTGGAATTAATTGAGAAACTTAACAGTAACAAGTCACCGGGACCAGATGGCATTCACCCAAGAGTTCTGAAAGAACTCAAATGTGAAATAGCGGAACTATTAACTATAGTTTGTAACCCGTCCTTTAAATCAGCTACTGTACCCAATGACTGGAAGATAGCTAATGTAACGCCAGTATTTAAGAAGGGCTCTAGAGGTGATCCTGGCAATTACAGACCGTTCTAATGTCCGTATCGGGCAAATTAGTTGAAACAATAGTAAAGAATAAAATTGTCAGACACATAGAAGAGCATAAATTGTTGCGCAAAAGTCAACATGGTTTGTGTAAAGGGAAATCATGTCTTACTAATCTATTAGAGTTCTTTGAGGAGGTCAACAAGCATGTGGACAGGGGGGATCCAGTGGACATAGTGTACTTAGATTTCCAGAAAGCCTTTGACAAGGTCCCTCACCAAAGGCTCTTACATAAATTAAGCTCTCATGGGATAAGAGGGAAGATCCTTTCATGGATTGAGAACTGGTTAAAAGACAGGGAACAAAGGGTTGGAATAAATGGTAAATTTTCAGAACGGAGAGGGGTAACTAGTGGTGTTCCCCAAGGGTCAGTCCTAGGACCAATCCTATTCAACTTATTCATAAACGATCTGGAGAAAGGGGTAAACAGTGAGGTGGCAAAGTTTGCAGACAATACTAAACTGCTCAAGATAGTTAAGACCAAAGCAGACTGTGAAGTACTTCAAAACGATCTCACAAAACTAAGTGATTGGGCAACAAACTGACAAATGAAATGTAATGTGGATAAATGTAAAGTAATGCACATTGGAAAAAATAACCCCAACTGTACATACAATATGATGGGGGCTAATTTAGCTACAACTAATCAAGAGAAAGATCTTGGAGTCATCATGAATAGTTCTCTGAAGACGTCCACACAGTGTGCAGCAACAGTCAAAAAAGCAAACGGGATAGAGAATAAGATGGAGAATATTTTATTGCCCTTATATAAATCCATGGTACGCCCACATCTTGAATACTGCATACAGATATGGTCCCCTCATCTCAAAAAAGGTATACTGGCATTAGAAAAGGTTCAGAAAAGGGCAACTAAAATGATTACGGTTTTGGAACAGGTCCCATATGAGGAGAGATTAAAGAGGCTAGGACTTTTCAGCTTGGAAAAGAGGAGACTAAGGGGGATATGATAGAGGTGTATAAAATCATGAGTGGTGTGGAGAAAGTGAATAAGGAAAAGTTATTTACTTG